TGAAACAGGATTTTGAGATAATCTTGCCTCCTAAAGTTAATGTAAATCCTCCTTAAACATAATATATTTCATTTACAATAAGGATCCCTTTAAAGTGTGAGGCACATGGTAGCTCTAATCAGAAGGGGATCCCTGAGACTACATCTTATTAAATACAGGTCTGCGGCTCTCTGACTGCACTTTCAAATATCAAAAGGAAAAAAATGCCATAGAGAGAAAAAAGCTCTAAATTAAAAACACGATGAAACATTTTAATTTACGCCTGCTGATGCAGCACGGAGGAATAATTAACAGGAGAGGTAAGAGAGATTGTGACAGAGAGATAAACAAATACAACATTTCTGTCATTTATTATTAAATAGGTCTGTATTATAACAAAGAAAACTACTTAATAAGTGGGAAAGATATTTAAAATCCAATCTTGACCAATAACACATCTCAAAACACATGAGAACAAGAGTAAGAGAGTATAGTCTGTGAAGCTGTGGCTACATAGGCACACTGATAGTTTGATCTAAATACTAACATCAACATGCTCACAATGACAATGCTAACATGCTGCTGTTTATAAGGTATAGGAATCATAAACACCATGTACTGTACACAATCTTTAGATTAGATGATTGCTCGTGAATTAAAAATTAAAATGAAAGTCAGCGGATCGCCACAATTGTTACATTTCATCCTGAAGGGGTCATGAAAGTTTGTGTCAAATGTTATGGCTTCTACTAGTTGCTGAGACACAAAATATCCAGTTTTTTTTTTTTTTTACAACAGCAGCTACATTTTAGAGTCCCTAATTTTCACATTATGTCAGTAACATTTCTCAGAAAAAAAAATAATGACGAGAAAGAGTGATGAGTACACCCTTTTGTGCCCTGCTCCACTTTCAACACCCACTAAATACAGCAATACGTTGAAAGTGGAAATGGAAATTCAGTATATGGTGTCTTATTTAACTTCACCATCCAAAAAGTCTGCATAATTTCCATTGCAAATTAGATCTCGCGCTCAGATGAAACCACTCTTAACCAACTCCCGACAATGATTAATGTATAAAAATGTCCAGTCAGCTTTTTTCCACTCTGCTCCACTCTTGCATATCTCAAGGTAAGTTCAGGGTTGGCCATGAATTAAATATAAAGTCAAATGTGCTGGGTGAGGGATATGGAACCCAATTCTTATTCAATTTCATAAGACGTCTTTAATGGAGGGGGATGAAAGATTATTATCAGAGCTGATAATTAATTAATCATAAGAGGAATCCGTGAAATTAATCAAATCATAACACGATCGAGGTACAAGGTTCATTTTTTTTCCATACGCTCTGAAGCCATTTTAAGAGAAGGATTGACTGTGTGCACAGATGGATCTTTCCATATGGCAGCAGTCTAATGACAGTGCAGATAAGGAGACAATGACACATTTGAGTCCAGGCAGAAGAGATAGAGAAGGAGAAAAGATGAATTTAGGCTAGAGTAGCTGAGTGACAAACTAGTTTAACAACTGGAAACTACATTGAGACAGTGGAAACAGATGAGTTAATACAAAAAAACAGCTGCTGCTACAGCTGTATAGTGCACAGTCACAATGTCTAAGATGGAAGTCAACTGAAGAAAAACACAGGGCTTATGCAGCTCCCTTCCGAAACAGCTCATCCTCTTCTGCAACAGACGGAGCTCCCTAATGCCAAAGGCTGTTACCATAGCGATCACAGTGGTACAAACCTCCCAAAAAATGTTAGCACAGATTTTTCACAACAGTGAGTTTGGTGTAAAATAAAGACAACACGCTGAGTTTGTCGAGCATTTGTCAGATGATTCACCTGCTATGTGGTCACTGGTTTAAAAGCTCATTTTGATATGAAAATGAGTATTGTGATATCAGAGGATGAATGGGAAGAGATTAACAGTGGAAAACAACCTGCTCTTTATCTTGGAGAAAATATGGGTGGAAAAACAAGATTATAAGATTTTTTATAACTCCAGCACAGAACAAACACCGAGATACAAGGTGTTGGAGATTGTGTGGAGAAAATACAGCAGATCATTTCCATGTTTTTTGGGGGGGTTGCCACCTCATTAACTCCTACTGGCAAGAGCTAAACAAGTGTATAGAGAGGATACTGAGGGGCATATTTCCACTTAAAATACTATACCTGGGGAAAATGAACATAGAATTTACAAGACTAGGAGACAAATATTAGTTTAGGATAATGCCAATTGCAAGGAAAACAGCTGTCACTAGGAAATGGCAGAAGACAGAGCTACCTAAGAAGACTGGATCGATGTAGTTCTTAGAATATACACGATGGAGAAGTTGACAAATTTAATAGAATCTGGGAAAATTGGATGGAATATGTATCGTCTATTAGGTCAGACTTTGTATAACATAAAGTGTAAACCAGAGGACCCCAGAGTTTGAAATGTTCTTGCATTTGCTGTAGTTTACTCCAAGAGAAGTAAAGAGGAACTGCACAAGGTGTGGGGTGGTAAAGGTGCAGGTGTGTTATAAAAGGGAGAAAGAATTATGAATATTTTCAATGTGCATTTTCTGTGTGTGTTTTGTTTGGCTATTATTTGTTGTTGTTTTTAGGGGGGTTTCCTCTCTCTGGTTATTTCTTTGGTTTTGTTCTGTTCCAACAACCTATGTGACTGTAAAATGTAAATCTCATTCTCAATAAAAAAAAAGCATAAAAAAACAAAAATAACTTTGCTTAAAATAACAAATTCCACCCCTTATCTGATGTGTTATAGAAAAAGAGAATTGGCTAAATAAAAATGTGACTTGTACACAAAGACGAAATCAAATGGTTTCCACATATAATTCTCAGTGTCTTTCTATCCATGTACAATAAACGTAAAGGAGAAGAAATAAAAGACAAGAAAAGATGAGAATTATATTTGAGGAAAACAATGATATCGTAACTGTGGAGAATATTTTTGCCATAGGATCTATTTCAAAAGTATATAAACAGTACAACTTTAAAAAGATTAAATCTATAGTTGCTATTCTGCCTTGGTACATTGGTTTTTTGTTGTATGATCTACACTGATGATATCGTATTCCTTCTTCATACCCCACTCTGACTGAGATTCCTATCCTGAGATGTGAGCAACTGAAAATACTTCACTTCGCATCACAGGAAACTATCTTCAAACTTTCTGTCTCAACATAAACAACAATGCCATTATCAGGGGAGAGTAAAATGGAGGAACCCCCTTTCTTATTCATCTCTGGTACAGGCAAGAAATGTGTAGGAATAGGAATAAAATCACAGAGCTAAGCACAAAAAACTATAGTTGCAATATTGTTATAGGGTAAAATATCATATGTGCTTTTGTGCTATTATGGGTGTATGTCTTTATAGACCTGATATCTAGGCTGTAATTTATTCACCAGATTCAGGAAATACCACCCTGCCCATGATGGAACTTCCTGCCTTACACTACCCAAAACACTACCACCGGCTCCTGTTGAGAGAGCACACACACACACACGCACGCACGCGCGCGCACACACACATGCACACGCGCACACACACACACACGCTGACTCGTGGTTAGCATCAGCTAGCCGCCGAAGCTAACCGAGTACCCGCGCGCTAACGGGCCTTTTATCAGCTGTGAGCGGAGCGGGAAAGTCCGTCCCGGTGAGGACAGGTGACGTGTGGCGGCAGCAGGTGTTTTCTCTACCTGTCCTCTCCGGATTTCTTCTGTTTCTTCCCCATCCTGCTGCTCCGGTGGTTCTCCGGTTCTCCGGTTCT